GATCTCACTTTGTAGCTCAGGCTAGAGTGAGTGCCGTGGCACAGCTAGCTCACAGCAACCTCAATCTCTGGGCAGCAATCCTTCTGCCTCAGCCTCTCTGAGTAGCTGAGACTACAGGCACCGCACCATGTCGGCAATTTTGTACATAATTTTTAGTTGGCCAATTAGTTTATTTCTATTTTTAGTAGAGACGGAGTCTCGCTCAGGCTGGTTTCAAACTCCTGACCTTGAGCGATCTGCTCGCCTGGGCCTCCCAGAGTGCTAGGATTACAGGCATGAGCCACCGCGCCCGGCCTCCTGGCTAATTTTTTAACTTTTTGTAGAGATAGGGGTCTTGATATGTTGCCCAGGCTGGTCTTGAACTTCTGGACTCAAGTGATCCTCCTGCCTCTGCCTCCCAAAGTGCTGGCATTATAGGCCTGAGCCTCCAACCCTGGCCCAGATACTCTTCTTAGGTACTTGGATTTTATGGTTCTTGTGGAGCTAACTGCTTTATGGCGAATTCCACATCATTCTATGCCCTGAATTCCCTGAAGCAAAGGATGTCAGCTTGGTTCGGGCGCAGTGGCTCACGCCTGTAAATCCTAGCACTCTGGGAGGCCGAGTGGGAGGATTGCTCAAAGTCAGGAGTTGGAACCAGCCTGAGCAAGAGCGAGACCCCATCTACTAAAAATAGAAAGAAATTAATTGGCAAACTAAAAAATATTATAGAAATTTAGCAGGCTGTGGCCATGCTGTACCCAGCTACTTGGGAGCTGAGGCAGGAGGATGCCTTGAGCCAGGAGTTTGAGGCTGCTGTGAGCTAGGCTGATGCCACGGCACTCTAGCCCTGGTAACAGAGTGAGACTTTGTTTCAAAAAGAATGTCAGCTTGTTTCCTGTTTAGTGACATTAACACTACTCAGCGTTTCCAAAGGCTGTCAGCCTGAAGCATCCATTAATAAATGACCATTATATTAATAATATAAAAATCCCATGCATCTCCCATCTGGTGGAGTTAGGAGCCAATCGTGATCATCACCTCGTCCCTCATTCCACTGAAGCTGCAAAATAATTCCTTCTGCACTTACTAGCTGGGATTCCCCCAAGAACTTCCCTCACCAACTGCAGAGGGGTGAATGGTGGCTGCCCCCAAAGAATGTCCACCCAGAACCCGTGAAGATGACCTTATTGCAAAAAAGGGTCTTTGCAGATGTAATTAAGTGAGGGCTTCCAGGTGAAGTTGTCCTGGATTATCGAGTAGGCTGTAAATCCAACGACAAGCGTCCTTACGAGAGAGCAGCAGAAAGACACAGAGAAGATGCGGCCACAAGCCAGTAGCGCCCGAGGACCAACAGACGCTGCATGGAAGATGGAGGGAGAATCCCCTCCCCAGAGTCTTGGAAGGGAACTTGGCCCAGCCAGACACCTGATTTCAGATTCCTGGTGTCCAGAACCGTGTGAAAATAAATGTCCTTTCTTTTAAGCCATGAAGTTTGTGGTCATTTGTTACGGCAGCCATGGGAAACTAATACAACCGACTGTGAAACTAATCTGAAATGCATGTGGACAGGAAACATAGGATAAATGCTTGTCTTTTCCCCCTCTATTTGACCATTTACAGAAAACTAAAGGGCTGCTCTAGCAATCTCCAGAGCTGACCAGTGAGCTTTCTTTCTTTTTTTTTTTTTTGAGGACGCTTATGAGCTCGTGCATGTCGACATATCTGGGGTTTCAACCCATTGCAGTCATTACTCTTGCTATGATATTGTTCTTTTGGATGCTTAAGTTGTCCCAGCAGCCCCTTAAAGATGGCCCCAGTGATTTTTTCCACGTGACTCTTAGATAGATTTCTTGTTTTCTGGCTTAAAAAGAAAGATAGCCCAGGTTGATCGTATACATTCTTGCCCCAGATCTGGAACCAGCTATTTCTCCCAGGAGCCCTGAGTCCCTGTAGTGGAAAATGGTGTTTAGAGACCACTGTCTGGTTATAAGGGTGTTCATTGCTTCTAGGTTGTTGCTGCTAGGGCTTTTCATTGACAGACCTAGGAAATTCATGCTTTTTAGAAACAGAAATTTATAAATTCATATTGATATTGCCATTCCAATGTATAATTATCTTACTTTTTAATTTTTATTTGGATCTCTTTTTTTAATGCTAAAAATCTCATGATTAAGGACATTAACATAACTATGTACACATATACAGTAATAGAATATAGCAATTACACACACACACACACACACACACACAGAGTTTTGAAACAATACCATTATAATTACTGACAAGATTTGTGAGTGCTGTTTAAGATTTCTTGGTACGTCTCATCCTTAGGATGTACCTCACCAGCTGTGTATGGTAAACATACTGTGTTTAAAACAACACGGAAAAATCCTTCTCTGTGTGGTTTGTGCCGTCAGATCAATGTACAACTATTCGAATGTTTTACTATATTTTGATGCTTCCAAGTTAACTTGAGGTTTAAGTTTTAGGGATTGTTTTTTTCCTTCTTTATTTAATTTTGTTCTATAATTATGTAAAACCCAAGTTTCCAAAGTCAAAACTACCAAACAAGGTGCATCCAGGAAACCCCCCCTCCAACCCCACCCTCCCCACTCTTTCCCCTGACAACTCCTTTTAGGTAACTATTTTTATTAAGTTTTGGTTCCTTTTTCCCTTGTTTGTGCCTGAAAACATAAATAAATACTTAAATATATTCAGATTTTCAACTTTTCTTATGCCATCTGTAAAGTTGCATGCATACCTATACACTGTCCTATACATTGCTTTTTCCACTTAAAAATATAGCCTATAGCTGGGCATGGTGGCTCATGCCTATAGTTCCCAGCAACTCAGGAGACTGAGGCAGGAGGGTAGCTTAAGGCCAGGAGTTTGAGGCCAACCTGGGCCACATAGCAAGACCCTACCTCTAAAAAGTAACAAAAATTCAATTAAAAAAAAATATATATAGCACCTACAGATTATTCCTTATGCAGTTCCCCATTATGTGAATGACTCTGGTTTAGTCAACCAATCCCAACTGACAGATCTTTGTGTTGTTTCCAGCATTTTGCTGCAAATAGGGCCATCACTAATGGCTTTTGGGGATAGAGTTTTGGGGTGAGAGGGCTGGGTCCCAGGATGCAGGCAAGAGCATTTCATTTATTTGTTTATAGTATCTCTCTCCAGACAGGAATGTAAGCTCCTTGGCCGTATTGTCCACTGTTGTGTCTCCCATTCATCAGAGATGCTCATTTCTGGCTGAAAGAATGAATCTCACCATGTCATTCCTCAGCTAAAACCCTACAATAGCTGCCATCACCCACAGGGTAAAATCCAAGCCGTTTAGTGGCACAGAAGGTACTGGTGACAGCCTGACCTCCCCCTGGGTGCCACCCCTCCTCTCCTGCCAGCATCCTTGAACCTGTTGATCCGACCACACCAAACTGTGTCCACTTCCCCGTGTATCTCCCCCCGGGCACGTGCCACTCCCTTGGCCTGAGTACCCCGCCCCGCCCCGCCCCTCCTTGGTTCACGAGGTGAACCCCTTTTACAGCCTGCAAAACCCAGGCCAAGCACCAGCCCTCCCATGGAGGTTTTAAACATCGGCGTTCTGTCCATCACAGGGTGACTGGTTATTTAAATGTCCCTGCTGCTCTCTGGACTTGAGCTCAGGAGTGTAGGGATCGTCCGTCCCTCACCTGTCTCTCCACGCCCCTACTTAGCACCGTGTCTGGCACATAGCATGTGCTCAACGAAGCCTGTTGAGTAAACGAAAAGGAAGAATTCTGCAGTCAAACGAATGCAGATGCAAAAGGCTTGGGTTCAAATCCTGGCCTTTTACCTACTCCTTGGGGGCCTTGGGGCGAGTCTGCATCGGGGTCTCTTCTTCCGTACGCTGGGGATCGTGCCACGTCCCCAAGGGTGGCCGCCGGGGCTAAATGAAGTCAGGTGTGGAAGTGCTTTGGGCATGGTAAAGACCAGTATGGAATAGCAACGTGGTAACAGAGCAGATAAAGGAAATCAGGAGCAGATGAGCTCAGCCGGAGGGGCAGGGAGGGGGCACATAACTGACCAGTAAAAATAACGGCCGCTCTGCTGGGCACTCACTAATCAAGCCTCAGCACTCAAAGACAGACTACGCTCTCATCCCACGTGACTCATACGTGGCAATGAGCACTCGAACCTGGGTCTGGTAGCAACAAGGCCCAGGCACCACTGGACTAAACGAGGGGTCTGCAGTGAGGTCCTCTCTCCTCCCTCTCTCCCTCCCTCCTTCTCTCCCAGGAGCCCGCCTTCTTTCTTATCCCTTGTCTCTCTCTCTCTCTCTTTTTTTTTTTAAACAGAGTCTCACTTTGTTGCCCAGGCTAGAGTGAGTGCCGTGGCGTCAGCCTAGCTCACAGCAACCTCAAACTCCTGGGCTCAAGCGATCCTCTGCCTCAGCCTCCCGAGTAGCTGGGACTACAGGCATGCGCCACCATGCCCAGCTAATTTTTTTTTCTATATATATTAGTTGGCCAATTCGTTTCTTTCTATTTATAGTAGAGACAGGGTCTCGCTCTTGCTCAGGCTGGTTTCGAACTCCTGACCTCAAGCAATCTGCCCGCCTTGGCACTCCCAGAGTGCTAGGATTACAGGCGTGAGCCACCGCGCCCGGCTAATTTTTTCTATATATATTAGTTGGCCAATTAATTTCTTTCTATTTTTAGTAGAGATGGGGTCTCACTCTTGCTCAGGCTGGTTTTGAACTCCTGACCTTGAGCGATCCTCCCGCCTCGGCCTCCAGAGTGCTAGGATTACAGGCGTGAGCCACCGCGCCCAGCCCCTTGTCTCCCTCTGATGCCCAGGGCATGGCCCGGGCTCCAGATCGCACCACTAGCTAGAATCTCTTTCCTTTTTCTGGATCTTGGTCCTGGAAACTCCTCCCACCTTGACCTCTGTGCCCTCACCTGTGTGTGTCCCCCGGGTAAGGCAGAGAAGGGATATTTGAGCAGGTACAAAGGAACAAGAAAGAGAACGTCTTAAATGGTAAATTTCCAAAATCATTTTATTACATCTCAATGCTAGAGGGAGGTTCGGGCTGGTTCACAATTTTCGCAGATTGAGGTGCTGATTTCGCAGGAGGGTAAGTGGGGCTCCTTTCCCTTTAGATTTCTATTCCTATCAGTTTCCACTGGGGACGTCTGACTCAGATCCCTTCTCGTGTATTCAAACCATCTCACTGCCATTTGTGGATGATGGTTTCCCTGGTTTAATCCGAAATCAACAGTGGCCTCAGGGGGAGCCCAGGGGTCGTGGTGGGCAGGGCAAGGTGTGGCTGCAGCGGTGGCCTCCTCTTCAGTCCTCGCTCAGGCTTCAGGCTACTTAAAATACTGGCGCCTTCTAGCTCTCTTGTCTTCAAGAAGTCTTCTCAAGTACAGGAGGTTTTTGTTGATCCTGCTTAGTTGAGACTGGAGCTCAGAGGATGAAACGTATTCTGGGAAAAGAAGAGTTAGTCGGAAAAGGTCAAAACTTGGAGGGTCCTCCGTGAAAACAGAGCACGTGCCAGAACCAGACGCCATTCCCCATCGTATTTAGGGGGAAAACTTTTGATTCCTACTAACGCCCTCCATGCTCCCACATTCCACTGGCTCCAAGCACCTTCACTATGTCCGAACTTGGGCTTGGAGCTTCCAGAATCCAAGGGGTGTGGCGTGTTGAAGAGGGCTGAATTCTTGGACCTGGGTTTCATGCAATGCTCGGTGGCCCTTACGTGAGGGTATGTAGGTGTTTTCTAATAAATAAATTGCAAGAGATCTGTGTTTGGCTACTGTCTTGTTTTTGTAACTGACCTTGGTTCTATAGGTCATTCTTCCTTGATGGGTTAACCACATTCACCAGCTGGGGTGGAATTCTACAGAACTATGAGAAATGAGACACGCAACTGCAGTGCCTGGGTCCAGTCACTGCTGCACAGAAATCTGGGCCTGCAGGAAGGTGGGGCGAGAACATGCCCAGTCTTCTGTGCTGTTGTCAGCAGAGGGAGGCCGCCATTCAGATCCCTTGGCTGGGGGCAGGGGAAGAAGCCCTCCTACTATCTACCGGGAGTTGAAGTAATGACCTTAAACAGCAAGTCTCAGAAGGGAGGGCCACGGTGGACTCACAGGCAGATTGCAATGTGGGGCCCCAGGGCACGTGCCTAGAACTTCGGAGCTCCCTCGTGAGGACAAAGTGGAGTGGCCCCTAGGGAAGGAGCATTTAAGATGTGGTATATGGGAAACTATCCAGTCTGTTGGTGCCTGTTGCAAGAATAGTGTAGAATTTTATTAAGGAACATGATAAATTTAGAATGAGGAGACAGATCGGTGGGTCTAAGCTCCCTTTGGGTAGCCTGCTAGCAATTGGACCTCACCTTTGGAAAAAGGAATTGTTGCTGTTAATATTCTATATTAACAGTATAGTATAATATGGGGAAATTATAATTAGAGCTGACATCAGTTTTTTCCTCTCTTAGTATGTATTGGAGGAATTAACTGATATAGGAGAGAAAACAATACGTGAACCAGGAAGGAAAGATGGGGAGAAAGTCACAAATGGGCCTTTACTGGGGCTGGGAGGTATGGAAATTTAAGAGTTTTGAAAGACACATATCAAGGTAGGGTAATATTGAGTGGGCAATACTGATTGGAGACCAATACCATTGTATCAGAGGATGTAGAAGTTTCAGGAGTAGTTAACAGAAATATATCGCAAAGACAAGGGATCCAGGGAATGTGTACAGTTCACTACAACTTTACAGGGGAGCACAGAACATAAAGATGGGAAGGTTGCAGAATATTGACATTTTTGCAAACACAGAAATGAGGTGAGTCAAGAACAGAGTTGGAGCCTGATCCAGTGATTAGAGGGTGCAGTGGGGGCTAGACTGCCCTGCCTACTTCCAGCACCCTTGTATCTGGGCTTGATCGTCAAGCAAATGCAGTAAACAATGTGTGGTCTAGTTAACCCCACCCTGAGAGAAGGTATAGGAGGAGTTGGACATGAGTTTGCAATACAGACCAAGATAAAGTGTGTGGGAAATTATTTGGGTTGTGTTTAATAAGGTTAACTTGAACCTATATTCTTATGAGAGCTTCTGGATGTTGTCATCTTGATTCTCCTACTATCTCTAGCCAAGACCAGGGAGGTGATAAATCACGTAGTTGTCTGTCCTCATTGTCTCCTCCGCCCGACTCACCGGCATCTCTGCCTGGCCTGGGGAGGTGAGTCTTCGCCCTCTGCCCAAGCCCTGTCCGGTTGGCCATCTGGGCCTCCTGCCATGGAGGTGACTCTGCTTCCCTCTCTATTGCAGAGGAGACGGGTCCACCCAGAGAAGGGAGCAAAACAGGAGTCGACAGATCGCAAAATATAAACAAGAGTTGATCTCACTCACCCTGATTAGAGTGGTACACGAAGTTGGCTTCCACCACTCTGTGGTTCAGGCGCTGGGTCCTGCGATAATCATTGTGGATGGTCTTGTTTTTGTGATCCAGCAAGGAATTTTCTAGCTTCAAAACCTGGGGACAATACGAGGTGAATTACAGAGGTGAAGAGGCAACTTAAAAGTGTTTAGTTAACAAATTGGACTACATCTTGGATTTATTAACCCTTATTAATAAAGTAAGAAGATCTCAAGCGCAGAGGAGGTTCTGGGTACTATGCGCCAGGCCTTATTCCAGAATGTATCTACCCATCCATTCTTCCAACAAGTATCTGCACACATCTCTTTTCATCTTTTCTACGAGTATTTGATCAATGGTAGAAAGGAGAGAAAGAAGTAAACAGAAGTATATCAATTGGTAGGCTCAATTTTTGTTTTTCTGAAAATGTCTATAATTTGTCTACATCCTTGGAAGGAATTTTTGCTGCATGTACAATTTCTATGTTGGCTATTCATTTCCCTCAGCACTTTAAAATTATGATACCACTGCCTGCTGACTTTCACCGTTGCTGTGTTGAATTAACTCTTATTCTAATAGTACTCTTTTCATGCCAATCTGTCTTTTTTCTCTGACAGATTTTTAAATCTTTTGTCTTTGAAGTGTTTAGTGCAGTGTTTCATATATATAAAATATATGTACATATGTTTTATATATATATTGTTCCTCCGCCTCAGCTTGCCTGTCTCTACCACAGCGCGGGGAGGATCACCCATGGATATCATGCAGGCGAGGCACGGTAGCCTGCGCCCGGAAAAGGCCCTGGGATCCCCAGGAGCCAACATCCGGCGGGATGCGGGGAGCGCTCTTGTTAACCAGGCAGTCGAGAGGGGAAGGTTCGGCAAAGCGATGCCCTGGCCGTTACCTGGGCCTTGGAGAGCTTGACAGTATCTGCCAGCACAAACCAGTGCACGTTCTCGGTGCAGGGCGGGGTGGTGAGCGAGCCCTGGTAGCTGTAGTACTGCCGGAGGTTCGCCGGCAGCATGTCCTTAACGTCAAGGCCCCTCAGAATCGTGCTTTGTCCTAAGCAGGGAGACAGGGGGGAGAGGGATGCAGGGACCCGCCACATTCAAATCCCCTGGCTCAAGCAGAAAAGCACAGAAGCTGAT